ATAAAATAATTTTCAGAAAAAAAATACACCGACTTCGAAATGCACTAAAAAGTATAAAATAATTTCTATTTCCTAATGAAGTAATTTCTATTTCATTCAATCATACAATTACGTAACAGATATGAATGAAACCTATTTACTCGTTAGGTAGTATATTAAATACATTTCAACCTTTTCGGAGGCGGCGCAAAATTAAAAGATTTTCTTGAACATGTCAACCTTTGGACAGCCGAACATAGGCAAAGCTTGTATAGCTATTTTTTTCTATACATATAATTCGACAGCACGCCGCGAAGTAGGTGTTAGTGCGTATAGAATGTAACTATGGTCTATCTAGCCCTTTGCGAACGGGACGGTTCGTTCAAGTTGAAAACGGACCAACATTTTCTCATAAATTTATTAATTTATTTGAACTTCGATGAAACTGAGAGTAAAACGAACGTCAAGATACTTCATACACAGTACAAAACAATTATTTTGACGGAATAATCTACATTTTTTCCATAACTTAATAATTCGTACAAATATACCCTCAAAAATATTATCTACCTAATAAAGTTTAGTAACATATGTTATGTAAATCCAATTTATAATTGATTCAATAAAATTTCATTGTATGACTACTATTCTTCAAACACTTTATCTTCAATGTTTTAGTCAAGCGAGATAATTTAATAAAAGCGGAACATCTACGCATTTACATATATTTGCACATTCATGTATTCGGTTGAAATTGAACAAATAAACTTTCTGAAGGTCGTTTACAGCCGGTAAAGTAACTTTTAAACGACTAAAATGCCGTCGCATTATTATTAAATAAGACATTAAAACTAACTTCGCACTAATTGCGCACGAACGGGCTACGATAAGCGCGAAACACGAAATTATCCAATTTCACGGAATTCGTTGCCAATCTCAGAAACTTCTAATGAAAAACTTTTATCTGTTCACGGTCCGAGTGGCTTTTTAAACACGTTTCCTGACGAAAACTTAGATAGCCTTTAGACTGTCGATTAACATGGAAACAAAGGACATATTAATTAATTCGTTGAACTTTTTACGAGAAACAAACGAAACAGACAATATCGGTTGCTTAGAAAGGGTGAGTAGTTTCATGTACTACTCAAAATAATTTAATGTTAGGTACAATAAAATTATGTGTAACTTAATACCTGTAAGAGGAAAGGGAAAATAATAAGGGAATTAAATGATGTCAGATTAATAATATTTTAAATACATGGGCGAGTTTTTTCCGTGGCAGAATGAAGATTTATTTATAACAAAAGTTTCTGTTACCAACTTACTCGGTTGCCGAATCGCTCGTTAAAAACAAACGCACTGGTACCTAATTAACCAGTTAAGTGTATTTGACGAATATATCCGTAATGGAGATGAGAATTTTGTGTTATGACGACTATATCCGTTTTGTTACAATTTGATATTTAAATTGTAATTTTGGCAAAAACTAAATTATATTCGTAAATTGTAATATGTTTAAAATGTTTAGGGGTCAACACGAAATAAAATAAACAAATAAAAAGTGTAAACAATTTGAGATGAATTCATAAATTCTTGAGAGCTAACTCGTCATTGCTTGATTATCGAGACACACACTGGTACGCGCTTTGCAATAAGATCACCACAGTTAACTGGTTAAAATATAATCAGGTTGATACAGTGTCCAAAATAAAATGCTTACATACTGATATTTTTTGACTAACCTACCAGACTATTTTGAACTAACCTAATCAATATTTGGATTATATGGAACTATCCTGAATTTAATTTAGGAATTGGTTGGATTACATGAGACTACATATTTCGGTCCATGAAATACATCCGTGTATTGTGTAATTATGTGTTTACCAAAACATCAAATACTGCGATGTATTTTGACTAACACCAATATTCCTTTACAAATAGTGTGGTTATTAGTTACCTATACCGCGTATACAATTTCGTCGTGAAACAAACTTTGTTACAAAATCTACAGCGTGGAAGGAAATTATATTCCATAAAAAAGTATGATTTGATGGTTAAAAGTACGATTTAATGCTAAAAATTATACTTTAATATCGAAAATAGATCGGCTTAATCATAAAGGTAGTCATTAATGAAATGAAAACTAAACATAAAGGAGATATTTTTATATTTATTAAGCAAGGCATTTGAAATAGAGGAAAATCTTGTTAAAAGCTGGCATTTATAAGGCAATAGTAGTCTTTTGAGAAAAATAATTGACTAGTTACGGACAGTTATTTTAAAATAAGTATTTGGTTTTATTGTCGGAATGTTGCTTCTCTTATATAAAGCATAGCTTGTTTCTTATTATAATGTAATTAGTTATTTTTCTTAAACGATTACTATTACTAATCGCAGGCGATATTTTAAAATTGGTAGTAGTAATCGTTTAAGAAAAATAACTAATTATATTATAATAAGAAACAAACTATGCTTCATATAAGAGAAGCAATGTTCAGACAATAATATTAACATAAATAAATACTCATTTTGAAACAACTGTTCGTAAATTATAGCATGCATTTACCGATTGAAAAATAAGATCAACTGCATTGTTTCTTTCACACATGAACCATTTATTTTGAATATGGGACAAGTCTACTTTTAAAAAATGAAGATAATGATAATAATAGATAAAAATTACTATGATATTTTTATCTGTAAGCAATCTATAGTCAAAATAATATAAATTCCCTAGTATGTATTTGCACTGTAGAAGTTTGGTTGATTAACGGTATTGAAAAAATGTTTATTTTGAAAGTGGTATAAGTTTACCTTGGATTGAAATTATTTTCTGCTAAATATATTACAGTATAATTTAGCTCCGGTTTTTAGACAAAACAAAAATTTTTAGACAAAATTTTTTAACAAAAATCTACAAATTGTTTAATATTGATATGCTATAGATTTGTCTAGGCACTCATTTTATTATCAGCTTGCAAGTAGGCACGAATACACTCTTCAATAAATACTTGCAACCAACACGGCTCGTGTTTCAGTATCGATGCATAAAACTCCTTAATAATTTCGCTGTTATTTTAAAATTAATTACGAATTACGGTTAGCCTATACAAGTACATATGTAAAGGCCTCGATAAAGAAGTATTATATCAGACACGCGAAAAAGTTATTCCCATGTTAATCAGTAGAAAAAAGCGGCTTCAAACCACAAACTACATTCGACTTTTAAAATTCATTTGACTTTATTCTTTCCGCTCTTTTTATTTAACAACAGAAAACCTAGAAAGATTCCAATCTTCTCGTTTCTTTGTTATTTTATAGTCGAGTAACTGCAAATCACTACAATAATTTAACTGTTATTTGAAAATTAATTACGAACTGCGGTTTATTTTGTGAAAAGAAAATATGGTACAGAATTATTTCAATGAAAATCATAACTGCGATGCATCCTGGAAGCTGGTAGGTAATAATAAGAGAATAAAAATATTTTTCTGGGTAATAAGGCCATTCTGATAAAATTCTTGTTTCCACGAAATTTTATTATTTCTATTATGTTTATAGAAATAAAACGTATGAGAATTGCTAATAAAAGAAGAATCTTGGAGTCAGGATCTAAATATGAAAACAATTCGAACCAAAATGAGTCAAAGAAATTAAGGAAAACAATAACTGAACAACAGACATATTATTCGTTTAATTAACGGTTAGAATTATTCATTAATTTATAAAGCGAGACAAGTCAATTTGGGTAAAACATTCACTTTTTGTATCCAGAATTTTAAACACTGGCTGGAAATAAGCATACATTGTCTAACATCACAAAATACAAAAAATTTATTTATTGGTGCCTGTCAATATTTTTAAATTTATTAAAATGCAATCCCTTAAGTGTCTTAAAATAACAGAAAATGGACTTGCGTTCAAAAGAAATGGCCCGTTTGTTTAGTGCTTAATGTGATGCAATGTTTTGATGAAATGCAGTAAATCGACATTTTTTTCTATTTACAAATTTTACACTGATCCTATTTAATTATTCTAATTTATGCAGAGAAACTACTCCAAGGTTACTCTCAGAGTTTGGCGTACTTTTGTAAGCTGAATATCGCTACGAATTTCTCAGTGTATTAAGAAATTTTTATTAACCTAATGTTATTATTTACAAAATAGATTCTTAGAAGTCTTATAACTTTTAATAATTGTTGGATGACAACTTCACTCCGCAAAAATATTCTAACTTAAAATAAACATATTTCAAACTTACAGTATGTCGAAAAGAAAATTCTTTCTCGTGAAAAATACTAAATTAGCAGGTAATGACCCCTAATATTTAATTAAAAAAATACAAGAGTACTATATTATTTACTTATACGATCACATTTACTTGTTGAACACATACACATAGTAACCCGTGGAAAGAAAATAATTCTCTTGTTTGAATAACTACCCTAATATGTATCTACGCTATTAACACATTATAAATTAACACTTGATAGTGTTATTAACACTAATAACAATAATGTGCATACAATGAAAATAACGATTAATTATAATAGAAATATATAAGTCTCACCTATGGATAAAGAAATCATGGATTTAGCAGGGTTGGGTTCGACGACGAGGGTTTCCACAATAGATCTTATGGGGTTGTGAGTGCACCTCGCGATCTCCGACGCCTGCACGTCCCATCTTTCGCGTGAGACTGAAGTGGACATCTTGGGTCCAAGAACCTCGAAATCTTCGCTCTTGAAACCCTTAACACTCGAAAATTCACCGTACAATTTGTCGAAAACTCCGCCAGTGTTTAAATAATCGTCAGCAACAAACGGAATGATATTCAATCGTCGAAATCGTTCTGTCGTCGAAGTGAAATCAGGGGTAAAATCAGCGAGCGATAATCCTCGTCCAGGTGGTATTCCATCACTGAGACGAGATCTCTTCAGATCTGCCAATAATCAAAATGCTCCAGTGGAAGCTGGGGGACGAATGAACCGGTTCGATTGGTCGACTAGATCCCACACCTTCTTTCGTAATTAATTTCAACGTAGTCCCTGTTTACGTAGATCAACATTTCTCAACGATTTCCTCCGTCGTTTCAAAGAAACCTGTGACTCGGTCACTCGACGTTCGGTCTACCGTTAAAACACGTCGTGAACCTTATTGCGGACGAAATTAGACATTAAATTTCACTGGAGAACGTTGCTTTGAAACGTTAGCTTTATAATTTAATAACTGATTTCAGTAATAGTAAGTTGAAGCTATTTCAAATTCCACTTTAAGAATTATTCGAATCTAGCTTTTACTATTTTTACGTGGAAATAAAATTTAAGGTTTTATTTTATTAGAAATAATTTATATTCTATTCTGTTAATATATTATTTACATTGTATTTGTATAGAATTCTAGAGTTCTTATAGCTATTAAGTTATTCGTTTAGTGCTTAATGTAGTAACGATATTTAAAATTTAATTCTACTATAGATTATTTATGCACTATTCTTATGTTTATTATTATTAATAAACGTATTATTATTGTATAATTTGAATATACTTTTATTTCTATATAGGCTGTACTGTTTGTTTCAATCCTATTATGGTTTTTCTACCAACTGCAACGTGCAACTTATTTACTATTACTACCTGCAGTATAAGAATTAGAACTATTAATTTAAATTCTGCTTCCTTCTTATACAAGTAAGTAAACTAGTATATGTTTGATAGAAACTATCCGATAATCCAATGTATGTTAAAGATGAGTATAATTACGTACACGTGGTAGATCAGAAATCCATTTTTTCTACCTGTTTATTACACAACCGTATTGGGATAAATCGCAATCCTTCTAATGAAATTGTGATTATGTTAATAGGAAACAGTGTTCAGTCCATTACATAATGAATTTCCACTTGTACATTTTTACACGTCACCTTCATCTATTTCAAGTTCAAGTATCACGAACTTGCAGAGATAAAAAAATGTAGTGCATGCATGCATATTTTACATTAAGTAGTTTTAATGGCGTAAATTATGTACATCATTTTTAAGTGATGAAATTTATTAAATTCAGTATGTAATCTAATAGGTACAGACACATGTAAAGCGGTTGTAGCGAGTTTTTCATGAATATCATATATTCATAAATGTTGCATAACATCTGATTAAAAAGTATAAAATGTACCATAACAGCAACGAAGTTTCTTAAGCTTCAATAAATTTTTAAACGTCATCATTACCGATATTACGTGTGAATTAAAATCCGAATTAATACAGCTTGATAAGCAACCTCGCATATGAGTAATAAGCACTTTGCACAATGCGCGTTTAACTAACACGAGTCATTCATGTATTAGTTGACAAGTAATATAAAACGCAACGGAATAACTCTCGAAAGCTATTCGACGCGAAAAGTTTTCCACGGATGAATAATATTATAATTTGTAGCTTAAAAGAGCATTATATCTTCAGAGGAAACGCATGGGAATAACTGAGGTTATGCAAGTGGAAAAGTTGAGATTTTATTGGCGATAAGCCACGTGTAACTATCGATATGAAGGAGTGCTCTCATTATTTCTCAAATTTATGAGTGAACTTGAAAGATGCATAAGAACTTAAATGCTTGAATACTACTTGATTTATGTCCGAGTAATCCGATGTTTATTTACTGAATTTGGATATGAATACTCCATGAACTATTACTATACGTACACAATACGCACTCTTTGAAACTGGTTTCGAAAAATCTACACTCGCAATAACTGTTTGGTTTCATGCCTGAATCATTACAATCTTCACTATTTTGTCATTTTATTATTTCATTGTTTTTCTGTTTTACCATTGTGTCATTTTACTAATTCATTATTTTACTTTCTTATCATTGTACCATTTCATTAGTTTATTGATTTAACATATTACTATTTTATTACTATATCGTTGAGGGATGAAAGTCTAAGTCATAATCTACATTATTAAAATATTATGGAGTCTTATTTATATTTTATACGTCCTTTTTATATAAATTGTATTAAACCCCCTCTAACCTTTTGTACTGTCCTAGTAATTCTATTTTACTCGCTATTAATGTAGGTACTACACTATTATTCTTCTATTCTAATATTTTTATGATTCTTTAACAATTTCTAATTCTACTATTTTACCATTCTAATGTTTTATCATTTTGCTACTTTACACATATCACTTACACATTTTATCACCATAACTAGTATTTCATCACTCTACCATTTCACTATACTACTGTATTATTTTACAGAAACACTATTTGTTACTGTCTTCTATCACTGCATGTACTACTACCTTATGGCAGAATACTGTATATAGAGTACATACACACGTATTCTAGATTCTACAGTATCTATTCTATATACAGTATTCTACCATATCATTGTTCTACTATGGAGTTATACTACTGCTTGTGTAGCCTTGTACCGTTCATTTCTTTTACCGTCCATTTTTATGTTGGGACTCCGTAAAACCCTCGTCGCGGTAAGCCAAGGCTTCGAACACTTACTATGGGGGTCATACATTATCTCGCATTGACCTTATCCGGTTTTTTCCATGTAAATTTAGCGTGCCATAAACGGTGAATAACGAATAATTTCAAGGTTTAGCGGAAACTGTTAGGGTTGCTAGTACAACTTGGAAATGAATTCAAAATTTTCTCTGTATATCCCACCTTAGGTACCCATGTCAGCGTTGAAGAGTAGGGTAACCAAATTAACGCATGAACAAAATTCAGGGAGTCGAATAAATTTTCAAATCTATTGAACTTAGAATTTTTCGAAAAGTACACTGGGCTTGATACTCATTGTCAGTAATTTTTGGAGAACAGTCGCTTTATACTTGTAATTATGTATGGAAATCTTGTAATGGAAGCACACGTCGCTTCACATTTGGTATGTCGTCGGAAGTTTAACCATCATATTAATAAAGATCATTTCTAATTAAGATCAATTTTTCGCAAAACTTAAGCTGTTATTTCCCTGGATAGTTCTTTCAGTGAACAAATATAATTATTTTCGGTGCATTTGTAAGTGATATACGCAAGAGTACGAACACAAGTTGCATGTCACACAGTATCCCAGATTTATTTTACTTCTTCCCGCCCTTGGCATATATGGGTTAGTTTACGATCTATACAAAACTATATCCGTTTCCGAAACCGCTAAAAAAATAAATGTGCAACCTTTCTCAAATTTGCTAACCTGAAAATAAATTCCAGGTGCCATAAATGAAGTAAAATGAAAGAAAAGGTTATGTGTACATCTCCTTTCGGACAGTTTAAACAATGGCGCTTTCTTCTTGCGCGAAGTATGTTAAAATTTTACCAAAGTATCACGACTGTTAGGGAGTAAAAATTACTTTTCGATTTAAAAATATATTTGCAACACTATTTAATGGCACTTGCTGATGTTTCTAAAAAATTATATCAGGTTTCTTATAAATAGTAAACACATTAGTAATTGCTATTTTTATATTTGTAAATATTTTTCGAAATTATGAATTGTGATTTGATTTTTTTATATTGCATTTCCTTTATTAAGCAAATTAGAGTAAAATTAATTTTCTTTGTTATAATTGAAATTAACGATCGTCCCTGAGGAGGTTAATTCCACTGTAAAAACTACTATTCTATCACTTGCTGAATTTGAAACATTTTACAAATTGTAGCTTTTCTTCTAACACAATGATTTTTTATAACAACTGATAAGGGTGGAAGTTTATATTTTTTATTTAATCACACAGATATTCATAAGAGATTTGAACCGCGGTACCTTTCTTCCTACGCCGTCGTCAAAGTCCACAAAAATTCCTGTACAGTTCTGGAGATCCTAATCTCACGCTAAGAAAAGTTCAGTATACTGAGTTATGTAAATGATGATACTATAACACGGCTAAAACCCTCGAACAATACAACACCCAATATATTTTCATGAATATCTATGAAATTCTAACATTTACAAAAGTAAATATAAAACTGAACCTGAATGATGTTTGCATGCGAAATGAAAATTACCCAGGAAACTAATCATAACGCGATATTCCAAGGCAATTGAAATTGACGTTCGCCCTGTTCTACATTATTATCGACTCCTTCCACATTGCATGAAAACAATTTGCGTTGCAGCATTTTTAAGAGTACGCAAAACAAGAAACGCAGTGGGTTACAATTTGTGACATAAACTTGCACGTTTCAAGGAGACACGCGACGAATGTTAATTATTGCGAAAATGGAGGAACTCTAGGGAGGCTGGAGGACGAATGAACCGGTCGGATTGGTTGATCAAGCTCCACACCTTCTTTTCATAGTTTATTCAAACGAATTCTCTTGCTGACGTAGCTCTGATCATATGCTCACGTCGTGATTCTGTGTCGTAGTGGTCGGATAGATAGGAGATTGGCCTTCTACATTTGCTTTTCAAGTTTTGCCTTATGAATAATATTCTTGTCTTGCGTTATACTTTTTTTTTCTCCTGTTTACACGAGTTCCAGTATTTGCCAGCATCGTTTTAATGATATTACACGATCATATCGATGATAATTATGAATATACTTGATCCACGGGACAAGTATGAAATAATTCCATTCTGCAATAAAGATTAGCAAATGATTTAAAGATAACTGGCGCCAAAGATTAGTAACTTTAGTTGTACTAAAGTCATCATTAAAGAGGAAAGGCTAAAAACCAAATGTGATCATGTAAACATTACACTTGTTATAATTGATTAGACAATCTTTTCTTTGTTCTTTGCTATAAACTTCATAATTTGGGAATAAATTCGGTTTTGAAGACACGTTCAACGATATTTATCTGGATATATATTTAGTGTGAACAAATATTAAAAAGCAAACCGCATATTAGAAACCCATAGTGGAGAGTTAATTAATTCAATTTAAATTTTATATAGTCACCGTATCATTGATTTTTAAAAATAATGTACC